CTCTTACTGAATGGCATTATGATGAACAAAGCTTTATTTAAAACCTGAGAAATCATATTTTGATCTTAGGAATGAGATTCTCCCAAAGACTGAGTAACATTGCTTCAAACACAGCTGAGAACAAGAAAGAGAATTGAGAGGCTGCAGTACTGATCTATGAGACTGTGAAATAAAACTTGAAAAGGGAAGTGGTAGAAACCTCATTACTGAATGGCATTATGATGAACAAAGCTTTATTTAAAACCTGAGAAATCATATTTTGATCTTAGGAATGAGATTCTCCCAAAGACTGAGTAACATTGCTTCAAACACAGCTGAGAACAAGAAAGAGAATTGAGAGGCTGCAGTACTGATCTATGAGACTGTGAAATAAAACTTGAAAAGGGAAGTGGTAGAAACCTCACTCCTAGAGACATTTAAACCTGGACTTATCAAAATATTAGAACATATACTGTAGAGAACACTACACCACCCGCATAATACATCTTATTTATCACTCTCCTAGCTTTGGCCGTTGAAGGTTCTAGTCCTTTCCCCTTACTAGTGAGGAACCAACTGCCTTCTCCTGTTCTGAGCAGTTCCTTTTATATCAGGGCTGCCTCAGCAATCCATTCTTTGATTGACTTCCTACAAGCCTCTCACTTCAGCCTGCTCTTAACCCACTCTAACCAGAGACCTATCTCCAATTAAAAAAAAGCACCAATAGCACGGTAGGACAAAGAGCTGGAAAATGGGGTCCTGTACTACATTTCTCCACACTAAGGGTATGTCTAGACTACATGCCTCTGCCGACATGTAAAATAGGCTGCCCAACATAGTCAGTGAGGCATGGATTTAAATATCCCCAGCTTCATTAAAATAAAAATGGCTGCCACACTGTGCCGGCTTATGTTTCACGAGGCATAAGGGAGCGGTCGACAAAGGCTTCCCCTGTCGACTGATCCGCATCTTGACTGTACACTGTGCTGACAATCAGCTGAGCCGGCACAGCGTGGTGGCCATTTTTATTTTAATGAAGCCGGGGATATTAAAATCCCTGCTTCATTAACTGTCGGGTAGCCTATTTTACACGCCTCTGTTAGCAGAGGCATGTAGTCTAGATATACCCTAAGTGCCCATTTGCCTAAAAGAAGGTCCACTTTGTGAGAATAATACATATTACCAGAATTGAAACTTGTAGAGGGAGCTGCATGGTCCTGAAGTTGCAGTTCAAATGCCCTGTGTGATTCAGTAAGGAGTTGTAAAAGTTGTTAGTTCAATAGTGTATACTTTGATCAAGAAAATGTATCTTCATGGCTGATGTTTTAGATTGAAATATTAGTAAAAGCTGCTGATTTTTTTAAATTTTAGTCAAAGGTTATAAAGCCAGAAGGAACTACTTTGATCAAGTACAGGCAGTCCCCGGGTTACATACAAGATAGGGACTGTAGGTTTGTTCTTAAGTTGAATTTGTATGTAAGTCGGAACTGGTACATATTGTACCCTAGGTGTCCCCGATTCAGCCACTGCTGAAACTGACCAGCGGCTGACTACAGAGCTGCTTTGCCCCGGGCTTCCTGGAATCAGGCGCTGATCAGTTTCAGCAGCAGCTGACTTGGGGACGCCTGGGTTTCTTAAGTTGAATCTGTATGTAAGTCAGAACTGGCATCCAGATTCAGCCACAGTTGAAACTGATCAGTTTCAGCAGCGGCTGACGCCAGTTCCGACTTACATACAGATTCAACTTAAGAACAAACCTACAGTCCCTATCTTGTACGTAACCGGGGGACTGCCTGTATAACAAAAAACAGGACTATGTAGCACTTTAAAGACTAACAAGATGGTTTATTAGTCTTGTTAGTCTTTAAAGCGCTACGTAGTTCCGTTTTTTGTTTCAGTTACACTAGACTAACACGGCTACATTTCTATCACTTTTATACTATGGGATGGTACATAATATCTCTTGTGCAATTCAAAGGCAACATTCATTCAGATTAAATATCTGGTTTTGTTCCATTCACATGCTTACCTTGTAGCAATTAGGAAATTCAGCTCCTCTCTGAAGCATGTGTAAAACACATTGAGTAAAATACAGAACACATTTTAAAAATGATATGCAAACCCTCCAAATGGCACAATCATCTGTAAATATCAAAACTGCCCTTGCCATAGGGCTTGAACCTGCAGAGGAGGGTTGACAAAAAATAATGTTGAGATACCAGAAGGGCTGCTGAGCACAGAGCTTTGTTACCTATAATGCAGTACAGTGGACTACAGTGGGATGAGGCTCGTACTGCTGGTAGGTGGACTGGCAGGACCACTACTGTGTGTACCCTATGAGATAGATATCTTTGTGACCTTCAGACTTTTCAGTCGCTAGTTGATTTTGCTGGCATTTTTTTTTGAAGAGAAGGTCTTAAACACATCCACAACTACTGGGGAGGGGAAGGGGTGGAGAGGGAGAGGTGTATTATGATTATAAGAATCAGTGACAAGACACACTTGCATTCATTGGATTGTACTGTCACCCATACCCTGGACATACCATGTTACATCCTGGGCTCTGAAAGCTGAGCTTGGTTCTTTCTACTTGGTGCATCTATCTAAATAATACCTAGCTCTTCTATAGAACTTATCAGAGCTCAAAACACTTTATAAATGAGACCAATATCATTATCCCCATTATTCAGACGAGGAAACTGAGGCACAGAGAGGGGAAGTGACTTGCTCAAGATCATCCAGCAGGCCAGTGGCAAAGACAGGAACATATCTTTGCCACGGGTCCAATTTGGGAAAGCTGCTAACAGGCCGCTCCACTTTGTTTATCTAAATGATCCGCAACCACGGAGCCTCGCAGATCCCATTATCCCTGGTTCACTGTTTCCTGCCAAGACGAGCCATGGAAAGTGCTGTGGCCACGTCCTATAGCTCCCCTTGGCCGCAAATGGTGAACCGGAGCCAATGGGAGCAACAAGGCTCTGTGGCTGCAGAGCCTTTAGATAAATAAAGCAGAGCAGTCCATTAGCAGCTTTCCCAAAGGGGGCCCATGGCCCACTTTGAGAAATGCTGCCATAATATTTAGATGACACTGTAAATTTATCCTCATAACACACCTGTTTTGCACTGTTCCAATTTTACAGATGTAAAACCAAGACACTGGCTGGAAATTGACTTGCCTGTGGCAACACAGGCAATCTACCACCGAGCCAAGGATTTAACCAGTGCTGGACCAAGCTATACTTGCGCCCCGGACAGTGGGTGCGTGGTGCATGTGTGGCACCTGATTGACATGGTAAGGGGCGCAGCGCCCCCGGGCGCATGGCGCATGCGCGGCCCCGCCCCTGGGTGCCATCCAATGGGGGGGCGCCTTATTGAAGTGGTAAGGGGAGCCGCACACCCGGCGTATGCACGGCCCCGCCCCCGGGTGCCCCTTACTGCTTCAATTAGGCGCTCTCCCATAGGTTGACACCCTGGGCAGCTGCCCAGCTAGCCCCCCCCTTAATCCAGCCCCAGATTTAACATATATCTCAAGTCAAAATCCAGAGTCAAATAAAAGTCCATCATTACCAATAATAGAAGGTCTGCAGACCAAATTATCCCGATAACAATTACACCTGTCTTTATATAACTGGTCTGAAGAGTGCATGGATACCACTGAAGTTGGAGGCTCCAAGAAGAGCCTATAATCCTTCCGACATAATACACTGCAGCAAATTCAGTCTGGCTTCCTACTGAAGGAATACTGACCCAATGCCCTAACCCAGTGATAGGGATACTGTGCTACCAGTCACTGCCTTGTAAATGAGATGTAGCAACCTGTGGTCAGTGACAATTGATATGGGAATATAGTCTTCAATAATTTTCATTGTGGCTATCTACATTTTGTTTAAGTTCCCCCCAAAGTTATGACTGGCTACAATATTTTGCTGCACATGACCTACTGTTCCCAAGCACCCATAAATAGTGGTCATATCTTGTGTTTGAAAAGTGTTTTGAAGTAATCTGGAATACAAAAAATCAATGTAAAGGACTGTTTTCTTATACTAATGCATGTCAGCTAATGAAGTTCACCGTACTTTTAACCACAGAGAAAACAGAAATGGAACATATTACTGATGGCAGTTATTCAGACATAAAAATGACAAAATTCTGTGCAACCATCAGGTGTTACTGATAGCACACTCAGTTTGATAAATCAAATACTCAAATGTCACAAAAATGCAATAGTGAAGTTGAAATCTAAATCTTAACTATGTTCCTTATGCTTATGTCTATATTCCTTAAAATAAGGAATCATGAGCAACTGAAGGAGACACATACAGACACTAGAGACCAATCTAGATTGTAGCATACTCAACTTGCAGCCTTTTTAGCAATACCATATGCTCTTTCTCCTCTAAGAGAATGAATCCAGTCGTGGAACCATATGCAATAGACTGTATTTCACAGACTAATCTAAAACAGGAAGTGGTTAAACCAATCAAATATCATTTAAAATGTACAATATATGAACACTAGCCAGATCAACTGTAGGTTTTAATAGCAAATTTAGTTAAGATTAAGAATTTGACTGCATCGTTAAAAAAAGTTTTAAAGCACAATTAAAAGGGTTATCAGACAATTTAAGTTAAACTCACCCAATGTAGTTGTGAGAGACCCATTACTATCTAAAAGGAAGAAAAAGAAAATCAATAAATACAAGTATTTGAATCCTTAGATATAAGAATCAAGTATTATGGCATTAAAATGCAGCTATCTATTGCTTACACCTTGTTTTGACTTGAAGATGGCAGACTGCCTGGCTGCAGCTCCTTTTGCTACATAATTAATCCATGGTGAAACACTAGTTTATAATTTACACTTGATATCTTTGTGCAAGTCCCATTAACAGAAACTGGAGCTGTGGATGTGTCCTAATGTCCCGTTCCAACGCTTACTGGAAGGACTCCCACTGACTGAGAGACTTTGGTTCAAGTGCTAAAGGAAGAAAATTCCTCACAGATGCTGATTTTTGTTCAATACCCACAAATAATCCTCTCCCCACCATGTGTCATCTCAACAACTCCACTCTGGCTATGCCTCCTATATGATACACAGGCTGCACTTTTGAACCCTGGGGAGAGTGAAGATGATGCTGGCCGGACATATAGAGAGCCTTTCTTTGAAGACACCAGGTAGCCACTTTTCAAGAAAATGACATCATCTTCACTGAATTCTGGGGTTGAACTGGAACAGTGCCTCCTAACTGACTCTCTGTTACATGAAGGTTTCAGACATCCTTGATCTTCAGACATGCAGAGTTATATCATACATCAATGACAGTTGCTATTCTAATTCCAAAGGTAAAAACCAGAACAGGAGTCTATTCAAAAACAAGCAAAACAGCAAAAAGGTTTCAAGTAATAGGTTTTTAATTTTTTTTAAAGCATATAACTTCCAAACATGCCAAACTGACACTGTAGTAATATATATTATCTCTGTGGTTCAATGTGTGTGTGTGTCTATATATAAATAAAATTACACAGCTGTGGTTTCTAGGCCATGAGCAGACACCCTGAACCACAATATACAAAAAAATCTGTGCTTATTTAAAGGCATTTTGATAATGTTCCTCAGCATGTTTGCACTCTCAGTCCCATTGCTGAATTATCTTTATTTTCTCATTGTACCAAGACTCAGTAATCTGTTTCTTTGCAGAAAAGAGGTATATTTTCTGTAAACTGTCCTCTTGCCATTTATTTAGTTTCAATAATTTCCATACATGAAGTGCAAAGTTTTCACAGGCACAAAGGGGAAACAGTGTAAGTCAATGAGAGTCAGCTTCTCTTCTGTGCCTTACCCGTAAAGAAAGTCTTATCCATAATATTTTACCAGCCAATCCTAGATGAAAGAACATCTGGTAACAATAGAAGACAGACATCTGTCCTTTTATCTTTCCACTTCATATATTAATTTCTCCGTAAAAGACCAGCTGTACTTGTCACTCATAATGCTAAACATACCTAGATTGCATTATTTCATATTTATTACATAAAGGAAAACAACTAATGATGCAGTTTAATATTGCATGCTTTTGTTTTGTTTTTAAAAAATGAATCACAGTTCTTATGCAGGATAGATTACCCATGTTTAAAGATGGACACTTTCAGTCAAATAGTCAGAATGCATAAAGAACACCTCAGTTCTGAATAACTAATTTGTAATGCATATTCCGACTTACCATAGTGTAAAAAAGACCTAGTGATACGTCCAAATGCATCTATAATTTTTAAGCACCACAGTATGACATACTCAATAATTATCATTGTGACTGATTCATAAAACAAAACAAATCCCATTTTCTCTGAAGGAAACAGGGTTCTTCTACTCACTGCTAGCAAGTTGAGAATTTTCTCACCAACACTGTAAAAGCCTTAGTCTAGTGAAAAATTAAATGACAAAATTTGGAGTTGAATCACCAATTCAGGAAAGTTCTATGACCTATGACGTGCAAGAGGTCAGACTAGAGCAGGGCCCATTTGTTTGCAGCCCACGTTGCAGTTTGGGTTTATGTGTGGCTCAACATGCAGCCTGTGGGTGGGATCCTTTGAACATGGCCTCCACTGAGAACATACTCCACAACGATGAGGTGTCTCCCTGGCAGGGTGAGCACCGAAAGACACAAGTGGACGGGCTGGCTGGAACAGATGGGTACAGAGTGTCGGTGTTTCTAGCCCCCACGGAGAAGGTGCTGGGAGTGCTGGGGCATTGTGGAGAGTGCTGGCTGCTTAGCCTTGTGGGCAGAGCCTGAGAGGTGCTGACTGGCTCACACTGACCACATTTGGGTCCGGCACCACGGCTTAAGGTTTAATCTTTGTATTCATGCCTGTAACTGTGAAATAAACTATTTGCATATATTTGCATATATATTTGCATGTATATGCAACTACATTTAAGTTGTGCTGTAAGTACCGTTGTGGTCCCCGGGGCTTCCAAAGTACAGTAGCCCTGAACAAGAGGATAACAATGGTTCCCTCTGTCCTTAAAATCTACAAATGTGTTTCAAATGGGGGTGAGCGAGTTTACTTAGATTGTAAGTTGTTTGGGCAGAAACAGTCTTTTTATTAGATCTGTACAGTGCTTAGCACAATGGGACTTTGGCTCTACCACAATACAAATAATATAAAATTAATAATAAAATAATAATAAAGCTACCTGGATTTATCTTCAGGCTACCTGGATTTAAGAACCATCTTGAGAGAGTACACACAATCTAAACTAAAAACGTGCGTGACAATGGTTTCCAATCTGATATCAACCTCTACTATGGATAAGGTAACTAAGATACTAACCTCTCTGTTCTTTTTCATTCATGCCTATGCTTGTATGCCTGAGCAGAGATTCTGCAAACAATGAAATTAAAATGTGCACCATTTCTATCATTACCGAAGGCAACCCAACTTTGGTAAGATTACATCCTGTTCTCCTTTTCTTCGTATCCACTACTGAATCCTTAAGTCAAAATGCTAATAATGGCTGCGGAAAGTACAGATGGCATTTCATCTGTATGAATCACCTCATGCTGCAGCACAATATTCAAGATCCAACAAGAACATCTAGGACTGAGCCAAGTGAGAATGTTCACAGCCCACTGCTCACCTCCTTCACTGCTACAGGTCTCAGGGCTACTTGGTAATCACCAACACCCAAAGAAATAGGAGTACTGGGTACTTATTAACTGACATAGACATAGCTCTTACCAAAGAAAACAACTCCTTCATTTATAGAGCTCTTTGAGGCAGAGACTGCTTTTTTGTTCCATGTTTGTACAGCACCTAGCTTGCAAAGAGATCCTGGACCATGGCTGGAGCCCCTACATTGGGGTGAGGAATCTTTTTTGGGTTGGGGGCCACTGACCCATAGAAAAATCAGTTAGGGGCTGCATACAAGTGAGAAGCAAAGTGAAAAGCCAGTGACTGAGAAGGAGAAAGACACTCCCCACATACTCTTTGCACACCAGAGCCTGAGGGGCCAGGCTAGTAGAGTTTGTGTGCTCCAGCCCTGTGGGTAGGTGTAAGGGGGGGCTGGAGAGCCAGTGCGGGCTCCCCAGTGCTGAGCCTCAGAGGCCAGACCCAGGCAAGCCGGGGGCCGCATCAGCCACTCGGCCTAAGGTTCCCCACTCCTGCCCTAGATGCTAGCAGAATCCAAATAATAAATAAGTGGTATTCTATTTGCGATAGTAAAGCAAATAATAAATGACAAAAATAGACACATGGGGAAGAAACTAGACTTCCTTCTCCTTCCTCTTTTAAGTGTAAGATTTCAGAGGGCCACAAAAGAGATTATTTTCTAATGCTTAATCAACACATGCTGGGAAGTGGTATGATATGTAAACTCTCATCCAACCCTTTACTAACATGTGAAACAAGCCTATGCCAAGCTCCCACAGAAAATGATTTTGGGTTTCTCAGTTCTCCTGCCATGATTTGTTCCCTTTTAATATTTTCATGTTGCAGCAAAACCAAGGCTGGAATATTGCAGGACAAAGGAGATGGATAATTTGTTTTAGTAGCAGAATAAAAATTACATTGAAAATTCATACCTTCAGCCCTGCTAAATATGGGGTAGGTGTCTAGGGTAGCAGGGCAGAGTTTTACAAGGTTCTATGTCTACAGTTCCCACCCATTAATTACACACATTGACTTCTTTTACTGTAAGACACCTGGCGTTATGATCCTGCTTGCTCCCTCAAATGGTAGATCATTAAAGTCTGAATAACTTGTATTATAAATAAGGATTGGGGGACCTCTATGCATTAAGGTTCTTCCCTCAATAAATGGAGGATGAAAGCTGGTGGCATACCTTTAATAGAGTGACTTGTTCTTATTGCCAATATCTTGCTTGAACTGCAGGGTTTTGTGATTATAGGCTCCATGGAGACAGAACATGTTTCCATGGCGCAGCTACCTCGGAGCCTCATCCAAACAGAAACATATCTTTCTTTCCCTCCCCCAAGACACGTGGATTCCCACCTGTTGGTTACATTCACAGACTACTGCAGAGTAGGAAAACTGAAACATATATTCGCTGTTTGCACAGCAGCTTATTCACTGTCCTTCTGCACTAAAATGGAATGTGTTTGCTAAAGTTCAGAACAACCAAGAAAATTAATCAAGGAGCTTTAGATTTTTCTTTCTTGATTTTTCTCAGCTTATCGCATTGGGGTGCTCATGGCCAGCAAGTTAACTGGAATAGTGTCACCTTTAATTTGACCTATAAAGTAAAAATCTTGAGTGGTCTCTTAATTGTGCCATTCTGTTAACGTCCCCATAAAATGAAGTGTTTCAATCATGGTCTATGGAATGTTGTCTGATTTTAATGTTTGGATATTTTTTGTGCTTGCCTATATAGTGCCAGAAGGAAAAGGGTTATCATACTTACTGTGTACTGAAGTATTTGAAATGGAATGCATGCTTGTGGCTGTACTGGATGCAGGCCCTTCAAGAAAAAAGAAAATGGTGAAAGAATTAAGTTCTCTAGCTTTAAAAACAAGCCATTTTTGTGTAAGCATAATGTACTGCAATTGAAGAAGCAACTCCCAATGTTATGCACACCCTTTTTTTAGGATATCCAACTGCAGGCCAGGACTGGGGTCAGAGCAGAAAGCAGAGTCACACAATGGGTGGGTCTTGTTCTACTACAGGCAATGACAGTTTTGCCATTGATTTATTTCCCTTTCAGTAAGATCAGGGCCACATTCTTTAAGTCCCATGATCCCCACCCTTGATAGGTTGGAGTCCTGCTCACCTGCCTTTCTACTAATTGCCTCTTCTTACTCCCCTTCACATTGTGCTCTGTTGCAGCTGCTGCATCTGCTAGCGCTCTGACTGCCCACGTCTGGACTCTGGCATTTTGAATTTTCCCCTTTTTATTCTAGTTTAGCTTTTACGTATTTTGGCTTTGTTATCTTTCACTGCCCCTAGCACATTCTCTCCTCTCCTGCTTCTGAATTTGTTTTAGGCCAAGTCTACAGTAAAAATAGTAATGTCAGTTAGAGGTGTGCTTTTTAATGACATTTCTATATTGGCAAACCCTTGTGTAAACAGTTATACTAGTGTAAGATTGTAAGTTTATTTATTGAGTTTATTTAGCTCAGGGAACTGATACAGGGGAACTTATACTGGGAAAAATCACTTTTTCAACAGCAGAGGGGGCATCTATATTGGGAAGGTTTGCAAGGATGCAGATTAGGTTTTACATCTCCATTTTCTCCTTAACTTCCATATCTCATTTTTAAAAATTATTTATTGTTTGTATTCCTGGAACATCTAGGAGCCCTAGTAACAGACCAGCACTTCACCGTGCCAGGTGCCATACTAAAGCAGAATAGAAAGTAAGGATGTTAAAATGCGGTTACTTTCCTAATTGAGTAGTTGATAGATTTTTTTATTGACTACTCAATTAGTCAATAAGGGTAGGCAATTACAGTTCTTAGTCTGGGTTGTGCCTGGTCCCAGCATAACCTCCCCCACTGCCGCTCTGCATTACAAGGGACAGAGGAGCCTGCCTGTGAAGATGCTGGCTCAGTCCCTGGTCGCTCATCGCACAGCATAACCACTTCCTTCCTTGCTGCTGTTCCGTATGACAAGGGACAGGGGAGTTGGCGCGCAAAGATGCTGACCCAGAGACTGAGCCAGCATCTTCGTATGCCCTCTCCCTTGTCCCTTATAATGCAGAGTGGCAGAGGGGAAGTGTGGGGAGGTCTATCCTGTGTAATGAGTGACCTGGGACCAGGGAATGAGCCAGCAACTTTGTGCGCCGGCTCCCCTACCCCTTCTAATGCAGAGAGGCGAGGGAGGAAGGGGGAATGCGACTGGTCGACAGTGCTAACAGATAAGCTCCTGCTTATCAGTTAGTTGACTAGTTGACTAGGATAGAAAGACAATCCTATTCTTTCAGTTTTTCTTTTGCACTCTCCTAACACGCTTTTCTTATCCCTTCTCTCTTTTCAGTTTTCCTGTTCTCTCCATGCTATTCCCCTTTGCCCCGTCCACCCTTATTGGGGTGTCTCTGCTCTTCAGTCTTTATATCTTTGTAGGGCTGTAACTCCTCACCCAGATTTGAGGCTACTGGTTCATTCCCCACTTTTTCCTCCATCAGAATTGTTCTGTGTTCCTCTCCTCATTTAAGGAAGTTGTGGCTGCCCTATGTTCTTTCTCTTTCCTCACATTGCTGGTGCTACACAACTACTGCCCTCCACTTATTTCCATAATGATTGAAGAGATAGCATACTGAAAAGAGCTGCCTGGGGGGCAAAGAGGGAGAGGAATGTTTGGAGGTATTAGGAGCAGAACAGAGAATCACAGAACACTAGAACTGGAAGGGACCTCGAGAGGTCATCGAGTCCAGTGCCTGCCCTCACGGCAGAACCAAACATTGTCTAGACCATCCCTGATAGATGTCTATCCAGCCTGCTCTTAAATATCTCCAGAGATGGAGACTCCACAACCTCCCTGGGCAATTTATTCCAGTGTTTAACCACCCTGACAGTTAGGAAGTTTTTCCTAATGTCCAACCTAAACCTTCCTTGCTGCAGTTTAAGCCCATTGCTTCTTGTCCTCAGAGGCCAAGGAGAACAATTTTTCTCCCTCCTCCTTGTGACACTCTTTTAGGTACAGGCAGTCTCCGGGTTACGTACAAGATAGGGACTGTAGGTTTGTTCTTAAGTTGAATCTGTATGTAAGTCGGAACTGGCGTCCAGATTCAGCAGCTGCTGAAACTGATCAGTTTCAACAGCGGCTGCCCATTGCTTCTTGTCCTCAGAGGCCAAGGAGAACAATTTTTCTCCCTCCTCCTTGTGACACTCTTTTAGGTACAGGCAGTCTCCGGGTTACGTACAAGATAGGGACTGTAGGTTTGTTCTTAAGTTGAATCTGTATGTAAGTCGGAACTGGCGTCCAGATTCAGCAGCTGCTGAAACTGATCAGTTTCAACAGCGGCTGAATCTGGACGCCAGTTCTGACTTACATACAGATTCAACTTAAGAACCCCAGGCGTCCCC